CTTATCAAACTTGTCTAAATAGTAGATAAGTAGTCTCAACTCTAAATATTTTTCCTTTTATCCATCAGGGATGAAGGATCCATGTTTTGTTGTTTGGCTATTGGGTTGTTTGTGAGTTTGCCTAGGTACATTCATTTAACTCCTTATTTTCTAACTTTTATTCTATAGTCTAAGTTGTTTTTGTGGAATGTGATTAAGTATTTAATCAATAAATGTTCAAATATATTATTTTTTAGTCAGTTTGATTATAATATTACTTTTAGAGTGCTTTTATTGGGGGTTCAATTGCAATTTGCAGTTAAATTTCAAAATTTGTCTATTGTAAAACAATTAATCTAATCGAATTTGAATCTATTCGAATTTATATTTGAAAAGTCAATCGGTCGAATTCGAATCAAATCGAGTATTCGATTTAATGATCAAAATTGAATTTACATGGATATATTTGATATTCGTCGGATATTGAATCGAATTTAGATATTAGTATTTATAATCAATTTCAAATTCAAATCTAGTCTGATTCGATTCGAATTCGATCCATTTACTGCCCGATTTACACCACTAAAGGCAAGAGAGACAAATTCTATCAGGTGGGAATGCAAAATCATAATAACAAAGTGGCTCAATAAAAGCTGAAGCTCGGCCTAAGCTATGCATATGTAAGGGGAAGCACTCCTAAATAGCCTTATAAGTTTAAAAAATAAATAAATAATGATAGTAGTTACTACAATAATGGCACTTTTTGTATGATGATATTTTTTTACAAATTTTGTCTTGGTGATTAGAGTTGGAATGTTCTATATTTTAACTTCAGAAAGGATTCTATCCTTTTCAAAATGGTTTAAATTTAACATGCGTTCTGTAGGCATGTTTCTTATTAGTGAACTTGTTTTCATTTATTATGCTTATGCCCCTTGGAAAAAGGCAATTCCCGTAGCTAAGGAAACCTTTTATGAATAAAAGATTAAGTGATTTTGTATTATTACAATACCAATAGATTGAAAAAAAGATCATCATCATTATCACCTAATCTTGTCTCAAAATGTGGTCAATTACATGAATCACGTTTCCCCATTCCGTTCCATCCAGGGGCCGTTTCATTCATAGAAATAAGGGTTTAGAATTGAAATCTCAATGGTCTTTCTAATTCCAACCAATTTTGGTTGGGTGGAATTAGAATCCGATTCCCATACTCAATGAAACAGCATTTCCCTATTTGAGGGAATGACCATTCCCTTCTTAGGAATAAGAATTCCATTCCACAGGATTCCAATTCTAATTCTAATTCCCGTTTGATTCAAACAAGTTGGGGTAATACATAGAGTCATAGACCATTCCATTTCTGACTGATTTGATTTCAACTGTGAACCAAACGGATTCTCAGTATCATATCCACGAAAAGAATGTACCATAATTTAAGTTAAAACTTCTAACACCCTAATCAGGTGGTACATTTTTATTTGTTTCTGATAGATATATGCATATTGAGGAACACATTCACATTATTATTATTATTATTATTATTATTATTATTATTATTGAAGCCTTGTGCACTTGAGGAAATAGAGCACATATGTGAATTTTTGAAATTTAAGAAACACAATAAATTTTGGGGTTCAACTATGATACCGGAAAGACAATATCCAAAAACTTGTGACGAATCAACCGGTATCAGAAACATGGCAGCCAATCAGGTGGTATTTATCAAAATTTACAGGTGTGTTTTGATTGGTCAAAACTCTTCCAATACCATATATTTCCAACATCATATATTTTCACTATACTGGAACACGTTAGGAACTAACTAGAAGAAGTACAAATACAAATATGTACAGTGCAAAACCTTGTATTTTGTATGTATTTGCATTGTACATATTTGTATTTGTACTCTTTCCAAAGGAAGAGTGCAATACAAATATGTCTTATGCAAAACCTTGTTTACGGTATTTCTAAGCCTGGTATTTATGCTATACATATTGTATTTGCACATTTCTCAAACTGAGGCTAAGTGCATACAAATTTTTAGAGTGCAAAACCATATATTTTGTATGTATTTGTATTGTACATATTTGCATTTATACTCTTTACAAACTGAGCCTAAGGCTGCATTTGGTTGCAGCGTAAATAAATTTGTAATGATACAAAATTATGTTAGTGCAAATGATTTGAGTGCAAATTATGATTTATTTTTATTTTTAGTTTTACTTTATTTTATTTGATTGCAATACAAATCATGGTTTTAAAAAACGACTCAGAAACGGAACCATTTTGGCCACCAATTTCTCGGTCGACGGTCTGACCGTCCGGTTTGAATGGATGGCCCGTTTTGACAAAAAATAAAAAAATAAAAAAATGGCAGAAAACTGTTGAATGGGTCGATGGGTTGACAGTTCAATCGCCCAGGTCAATAGGTTGTTGACTTTTTCAACTGTTTTTTGCTAGGGACTGGGTTTGGGGTAAAACGGAACTGGTTGCTTGGACGGTTCTTGGGCCGAACGGTCCAACCTCTGGGTCAACGACGGTTCAAAAACCATGATACAAATGAAGTAAAATAAGACATGAAGTAAAATAAAGTAAAACCTGAAACAAAATTAAACTAGAATTTGCATTCTTTTCGTTTGCACTCCCATGCATTTGTACTAGTGCAAATAAAATTGCACTGCAACCAAACACAACCTAAATTACAAAGCAAGCATCTCTAATAAAAATAAATAAAAAATCTATGATGCTGGACAGATGTTACCAAGGACTTGCAAACAAAGGTCAAATACGTGAATCCTCCAAATACATAAATAATATAAAATTAAGGCTCAAATGATTATAATTCAGGTATAATGAACATAATTAAATAAAAATATTCATAAAAAAACATGAGTAAAACTACATTTAAGTAGTTTGCAAGAAGTAATATATACATTACAATCAACAAACAAGACATACAGTATGTGTTTGTCATAGTTTCCATTTATTAAATAAATGTTCGTACTTGATTTGTCTTCAAAACTGAGAAAAGTACTTGATAAATCGTTTATGGACAACTAGGTTCCGTGGAACAGTGAATAAATGATCAACCATTGGGGGAAGCGTTAAAATGAAGCTTCCCCCAACGGTTGATACACACACATAAATTAAAACCCACTTTTGTAAATATCAATACGCACAGATGAATATCTATACTATTTTAAAAAGCACGAATAGTCTCCAGAATATTTCTGGAATTTTTAAAGACAAAATTTATCCCTCTATGTTTAAATTTATTGATAAAAAATAAGGGCAAATAGGGTAATCAATCATTGATATTAAATAAGTTGAAAATAGATAATTTTAAGATAATCAATGCATTCAATTATCTCTCATAAAATCTCAACATTTAAGGTATTAACTTACATTCATCTTCATTGAATCATATATTTAAGTCACTTTTGTTTCTTCTCATCATTAAATTTTATTAATTAAATCTATATATATAATAAATTATTAATTCCAATAACATAAGAACTTATACTTTTAAAATCTAACTAGAAAAATAGTGTTTTCATCTAGGCGGTGGAAAGAAATTAAACCATTTGGATCAAATGGGCCAATCCATGTTGCTACAATTAAATAATAAAATTAAAAAATAGATAAAATGCAAAAAATAGAGAAATTAAGGAAACATTTTAACATCATATATTAGACATATTAAACAATAATAAGTATGATAAATAAGAAATGTTTTTATTAATGATGAAAATGAAATGTAAAATTTAAGACCAATTGGAAATAAAACTATTTTCCTATTCTCCCATTAAATCTCATATCTTAGGTATATTCTCTCATTAAATCCTATATTTAAGATATACTTTTCTCATCATTAAATTTCATTAATTAAATCCACAACATTAATTTTAATAGTATAAATATAAATATTTTGAAAAGTAGTTTGAAAATAAAACCATTTTCTTTCCTCTCGGTGGTGGGTAAGAAATTTAAGCATTTAGGGTCAAATTGGTTAATAAATAATGTCATAATTAAATAATAAAAAAATTAAAATAAATAAATATATGATACATAAAATAATTAATTATTTCAAACAAAAATTAAGTGTAATAAGTAAAAATTATTTATATATTATAGATGAAATATATAATTTAAAACTAATCCCAAAGCAAATTAATCTATTTTCTTATATAGATGGTGGGTCAACGGTCCAACTTTTCAAAGAAACTCATGGTATCATAATTGAAATAAAAAATTTTGGAACATTTTTATATTAAATAAAAATGCTTGTTGAAGTAAAAATTATTTTTATTTACGATAGGCTGATAGCAATGACAAACAAAATTTAATAATAATAATAATAATAATAATAATAATAATAATTGCTTGTAATTTAAAATTTTCATGTGCAATGTATGTATACATTTACTACAAACATTTAAATTTATTTTTAATCATATTGTTACTTTTATTAATTTTCAATTTCTATCTTAACTATAATATATCTAAAATTCAAATAATTAATATGAAGAAAAATTTATCATGTACAATGCACATGCCAAATTACTAGTAATAGAAAAAATAGTAATTTAATTATTGATGACATGACGGCATTTTGGTATCACAAAATGCCCGAAAACAAAACACATGCATAGAAACGAAATGATAACTTCACCAATATCATTAGTAACAGCCTCAACCCTCTTAATAAAGTACCCTATGGTGAAAATATTATAATTTATATAATTTAATAACCCATAACACCTAGAAGTTCAAATATTATAAATTAATATGTTATTTACATTATTTATATTGAAACGGGGTTAAGTTAGGTCGGTATCGAGTTGAAGCGTCTAGGGTCGAAAACTCCCGCTATGTTGCAGGATGCATATTTGCGAAAAATTTGATACTTATTTGTAAGCCTTGCTTGCATAGAAATGCATCATCAGTTCATCACTCATTCACTCTCTCAACGCGCAGAATCTCAATGGGATTCCAATATCTTGGGTTTAGAAGAAGTGGATCAACTCCAAAAATTTGTTGTGTTTATTACTAATTTACTATTCACTGACAATGGGAGTCGATACATTGTTTCATTGCAATTCAGGAGGAGGTACCGCTGCCCACTTTTGTCGATGGTGTTGGATTGTTGGATCGTGTGAATAGTAACTAGTAGGTAGTACCATCATTAATAAAGACAACCACCATCGCTAGAGCTTAGAGATGGAAAAAAAGAGAACCAGTACTGAGTAGTATGGATATTTACTACAAGGGATTGTCTTCCATCATCGCCGTGTCCTTAAACTCCTGGAGCATCTTCAACACTTGCCACATCGTGGGTCTCTGTTCCGGAGATGTCTGACTGCAGGTGGTGGCTATCTCAACAAGTATGGCTAGCCGGTTCTCTTCGCCACTGTCGCCATCCCTGACGGATCTGACCCAATTAAGCAGATCACTGGATATGAGAAGGGGATGCAGGGATGGGGGTTTTCCGGTCAGAAGTTCTAGTAAGAGGACGCCGAAGGAATAAACATCGGATTTGGAGGTGGCTCGACGACTGGACTTGCGGGCCTCAGGGGCCCTATATCCGGCGGAGTCAGGAGTTTCATCTTCGGAAGAAGTATCGGCGAGCACAGCGAGGCAATAATCGGTGAGACAAGCCTCGAAGTCGGGACCCAGGAGTACATTGGAGGACTTGAGGTTGCCGTGAACGAGCCTGGATGCTTGATGTATATATGCCAGGCCCTGCGCCACGTCCTCTGCTATTTTCAAGCATGAAGTCCAGTGGAGTGGCCTAGCCCGTGTTGATCTCGAACCTGTGTCATTATTTATTTTTTTACTATTATTCAAATATTAAATTCATGAATTCGGGACTCGAAAAATACACAAATCCATGAACTATTAATATTAGGGTTCCAGCATCAATGTAGCAAGCATCTAGAAGGACAAAAACAGTTGACACAATTTTGCTACGAGCCTACGACGCAAAATCAAAGCCTTAGATGTATTGGAAGGGTGACCCCATCCCCATGTTGAATTAGTTGGGGGCCAGGGCCACAGTAATACCCCATGATCCATGAGCCCATGATTATCGGTTTTAGCCCAGCCCTACAACTACAATCAGGTCGCAGCAAAAGTGAACACCCTCCACTTTTACTGCGACATTGTTTTAGCGATACGCTAAACAATGAATAAATCAGAGCCTTTGATGCATTGCCATGTCCCCACAATGATTCTCGGTTTTAGCCCATCTCGTAGCAAAAGTGAACTTGCACATCAATGTGGAGCCCACATTTCAGAGTAGTGATTATCAAAAAGTCGTTATTGCCTCGTTGGCAATTGTCTGGACTCTGGGCTCCCCGAAAAAAGCATCCAAGTGGCAATTAATGTGTAGTCACTCAAGTATTTGAACCAATGAACGTGGTAGGCCCTAACCATTACATGTTTGCCATTTGTACAGATACCTTCTCTGACGAGTGACGAATGCACGGACGTGCACTGCCCCTACATTCCACCAGGATGGAAAGGTATCTGAATTCTGAAGAGTTACATCATCCCCATTCTTTTCGTTTTCTTCTTTCGAGGAAAAGAAAAAGGGTGGAGTGAGACGGGATCGCTGGTTCCACAGCCTTCTCCCATCGGCGACAGGCGAGACTGTGGAAGTCGGGACTCGGGGGAGTTTCTATGCAGGAATCTCTGTTTCACTTTGTTTTTAATTAATTATAGGATTGGGCTTTCCTAATTAATTATTATTAGTTCGAAATTAAGCAACCACGACCTGCAACACCGAGCCGAATGGCTTGACTCGGTGGCGAAGCATTGAGTCCCGCCAACTGTGCGCACAATAGAATGGACTTATGAGGGTGGTGGCTAGCGTACCGTGTACGAGGGAGAAGAGGCTTCCGTTGGGTTGGTAATCGTAGATGAGGAGTCTCTCTTCCTTGGTCTGGAAATAAGCTCTGAGCGGAACTAGATTTGGATGTCGGAGGCCCCCAACAGATTCCATGTGGCGCTCGAACATTTCCTTACTTGTGACCGCCGTCTTACCGGCGTCGAGTCTCTTTACGCTGACGATGAGCTGGTTGTCCAACACGGCCTTATAAGCCGTACCGATTGTCCCCCTACCTAGCATCTCGGCCGAAGCCCTCATTAACTGCTCTAGAGTGTACACCTGCGGCTCCCCTGCACAGAATATCAAGCACCCACTCTTCGCCACCTTCATCCCTTGCATCTCTTTCACCTTCGCCTCCAATTCGTTCTCTTCTTCTACGCGCATTACAGCAGCAGCGTCGGCGGTAGCTGCTAAATCCGAAGCCATCATCGGTGTCAGGACCCCTTGGCCTTTTCGTCTGTTTAACATCAGCAGAAAACACACCAGGGAGCCAAGTAGAACTGCAACCCCAAATGAGATTCCCAGGATTACGTTCGTTCGCTGGTGCTCCTTCTTAGACGGCGGGGGTAGAATAAGCCCTTGGTTCTGTCCGGACGTTGCCGGGGAAGGTGCGGGTACCGAGGACCTAAAGAAGGGTAGTTGCGGGAAGCATTCCTTGCGTATAATCTCGCCGCAGAGACCAGGGTTGGAGGAAAAGGCGGAGGTGTCGAAACGGGAGAGCGTGGGAGTGACGGGTACAGCGCCGGTGAGGTTATTCCGTGAAACATTGAAGACTAGGAGAGAGGACTGGTTAAACGGAGGGACGGCGCCGACCAGCCGATTCTTATCGAGCCGGAGATAGTAGAGCCGGTCTAGAAGGGTCAAACCGGAAGGGATTGGGCCTGTAAGGTTGTTAGAGGAGAGATCCAAGGTGCGAAGGCGATGGAGAGACGATATAGAAGCGAGGATTACACCGGAGAAGGAGTTGTGGTCGAGGAAGAGGGTCTTGAGGTTGACGAGTCCGGAGAGGTCGGGGATCGGCCCGGTGAGCGAGTTGTTCTGCAAGCTGAGGATTCTGAGCTGGTCAAGACGAGTCAATGTGTCGGGAGCAAAGACACCGGCGAGGGCACAACCTTCGAGGACGAGGCGAACCACTTTGCCGTCTGAGCATTTCACTCCCTGCCAGTGACAGTAGTCGAAGCGTTTCTTAACCGAGAAGGGCAGGTTGTTATGGAAATCTGCTTTTGATTTGAACTTTAGAAGTGAGAGAGCATCAGAGGGAGGAAGTAAGTTCACCGGAGGCGAAATCAAGGCGGTAGGATGAGTAGCAGCAGTAGCTGGAACTAAGCTGTGTAGAGAGAGTAGTAAAACTGAAACAATGATTGCAAGGAGAAACGAAAACATTTTCATTCAAGGGTAGTAGTTCTTCTTTCCCTTCCCTGCCGCATTGGGTTTCTTTCGTTGCCAAAAAAAGAAAATGAGAGGGAGGGAATGAGGCTGGATTCTTGTTTGAGAGCTCCAAGTGTTCCTCTGATCTTTAGTCTCTCTTCACCGTGAAGCATCATTATCATCAATATCTATGACGTGCATTCTCCATTCCGCTTCTTATGTTCCAGAATCCAGAGAGGGAGGATAGAGTAGAGTAGACGCCAGAGAGAGAGAGACCAGATATCCCAAGGAGTGTGTAGAGCGACAAAGTACTGCTCAACCAGACTACCACAAGTAGGTGACAGCTCTGGGAAGCAGAAGCAGCTGTCCGTCTCGTGAAGTAGATGTAAAAAGGAGGTAGGGAAAGAAATTTCTCCTTCTCATGTGTAAATCCGAAGGTATGCTTAGCCCAGGAGAAAAAAGTCAAAAACTTTTGCTCCATCCGACAGTAAAGAAAAAAGCCACGTCGCCCATACTTGAGAAGATATTAAATCACTATGACGTATCTGGTGTTCATGGATTACGTGGCCGTGCTTTACGCCGGCCTATCCTCCGCTGCTTGTCGTGGAAGAAGCATATGTGGAGACCGAGACTCCGTGAGTGCGACGATGTTTAGGACTGTGCTTTGTTCTAATCATGCTCTGTTAAGGATGATCGCCAGGTTTGGGTTTTCACCGGATTTGGTTAGATTAAAATACTAATAGTAATAAAGGCCAAAAGCACTCTGGATCCTGGATCCAGTGTGTTTGGACTCGAAGGGATTTTCTCTTCAAGTCCAATTATATTTCGACACGTTATCGGGTGCTGAGCGGAGTAAACCTGCAACTGGCTGAAGTGACAATTCTCTAAAAAGTTTTTCTTTGTTAAAAAATAAATATAAAAGTAAAGCCTTCAACCTTGAGTTCTAAAACCGTCTGGCTTCCGTCTCAACCCTATAAATCTAAACTCTCTCTGTATAAATCGTCACCAATCTCAAATATGAATTCTCTCTGTGTAAATCATCACCAATCTCAAATATGAACTCTCTATCTGTAAATCATCACCAAGCATTTATTAGGATGGATAAATCATTGATCATAAATATTTAATTTTTGTATTTTATATAATAAATATATTAAAAAATGGTATTAATAAATTAATATTAATTTTAATGAAGTGGTAGTAAAATAATAGAAAAAATATTTAAATATTTAAAAATATTATTTTGTTGATAAAAAACTTTAAATTAATTATATTTAAATAAGTTAAAAAAGAGTGAAAAAGGAGTATCATTCGGTTTGTGCTAGAATTAACATTAAAAATATTATTTTATTGATAAAATATTAAAAAATTATTATTTTAAAATTTAAAAATTAAAAAAAATATATATGTAGAAGAGATGTATTGCATCAAAATACAATGTAGAAATATTATGGACCTGCCACATCCACGAGATATAAATGTGGCTGAGATTTTGGGTTGTGGACGAGGACGGTCCACGATATATTGTGGACCAGTCTCGTCCACGACCAATAAAACGGTGAGTTCACCCCGTGGCGTGGATTGAAATGGTTCATCCATGAGATGAACACACTATCAAGTACCACCGAAGTTATACAAAGTTTTGAAGGTAATTTAATTTTTATTTTCATGCTCTGTTTTCTCATCTTTTTTTTTTTTTCTTTTTTCTTCTTTTGTTAAAGATCAAGCTCATGAAATGCATTAATCACTTGAAGGGGATCGTCCATTACATAATCAAAGATATTAACCAAGGGGGGAAGCTGTTAGACTCATTAAAAAAGGAAAAGATCTACTTTCATTTTGTATGTCACCTCATGAGTTGTGTTGTTGAACCTTATTGGAGTAAAGGAAAGCTGAGAGTCTTTGAAATGGCTGGTTCCGATCAAACACTTGGTGCCAATAACCAAAAAGAGCGATATGGGCAGTGTCTGCTGCATGTGGAAAATGGTTCTAATGACAAGTTTAACATCAGATTTTACCTAAGTTCCTATTGTGGCCACTCATAATAGTGACCAACTTCTTGTTATGGTCACAACTCAGGAACAATTAAAGCCATGATAAAAGCTCTAATGTATTACTGTAGCACGAATTGCAATTGACTTTAAGCCAATGAAAAAGAAGAAGTCAGCTCTGATTACCTTCATCATATTAACTCTAGAATCCAGAATGAGGATGATGTGAAGCATTATTGCTCCGAAGTACCAACGTTGAGATCGCTCCCGTTGCCCTCGTTCTGTTAATTATTTTGAGGTTTTTATTCAGTCGGTTGTAAATTTACTCCAACCCAACATTTAATAACATGTCGAAATGTGATTTTTTTCTAGTCCAAACGCACTGGATTCGGTGTGGGGAAAGGCCCAAAACTAAAAGAAAGTGAGTCAGTTGACCGCCTGCCGAATTTATGGACGTACGGTGAAGTTAATGGTTCACGAGTTTATTTGTTCGTTTAGGATGAAGATAAATGGAGTACTGGCATGATGGGAATGAAATCGAGCATTTACAATAGGAGTAGGAGGTCAAAAATTTTCAGACAGACGGTTACTCCTCATTCACCACAAATCACAATTTCTGAATCTATTCGTTACGTGTTGCTTGTTGGGAATATGATAATGCGGCCGGGACACGGGAGTCGGGACCCGGGAGCGGTCACGCACTCACGCTGGGTGAAGTGTGGCCATTAATGATTAATCGCTCTCATGATCGTTTCTGGGGAAGAGAGACGACTGAGACAAGCACGTGGACGTACCCAATCCAATGAGAGAGCACTCATTCTCATGGTCATGGATCACCACTTCACCATACTCCCATTATTATCTGAAATTTTGCAGTTAATAATCACTCTTACATACTTATTTTGAATTAGCATGATTGGTCATTAAGAAAGATGGAGGCAATTGCTTCATTTGCTTGGCCTGTAAACATGAGTTTTAGTTTCTAACTAAGACATGTCTGATGTCTCTTAATATCGCAGAGTCTATCATTGCTTAAATTTTAAGAAAGTACCAAAAGAATCTTAAATCTTAAATACTATGTTTTAGTTCAGTTTTTCTATTGGTATAATAAACTTTATACCATTAAGCCGATAATATACATCATACCATGTGCATAGAGATAAAGATGGCTGTTTTGTATGTGTGCTTTGCTGCAAAGTGGGGTATTGCTTTATATGCGAACAGGTTGGAACCCATGCGACGCACGGATTTTGTTCAGAGAAATTTGAGCATATTTAATTTGACATCCTTACTTTTACACAATTATTATTGTTGTCGTTCTGATTAGCCGAGGGTAACATTGTAAATTTATTTTTGAGATCTAACAGAGGGTTTTAAGGCTCCGAGGGGTGTTGAGGTCAAGGGCTAATGGGGCTCGAGGAATGCCGAGGCCGAGGACCTATAAGGGAGAATACGTTAAAGGCCTCGGGTGAGGATCCGAGGTGGAAACTCCGACAATCAAGTTAGTATTCATACATAAGGCAAGTAGGAGATCTGAAGCGGGAGTGCTGGAGGTAGTTGGACTCAGATGGCTCATATGCGAGTCGTATGAGGGGCAGGAGGTGGTCGTTTGGCAATGCCACATGGCATCCCGCGATTGGGCCTACGAGATCCACAACATAGCCTTGCATACACCGTAATGGATCCCGGCTGCAGCCTGTTGGCTGGACACACATCAGCTCAGTGTTGTCCCAACCAAATGCGCCTATATCACTTACCCCTAGACTTGTTCATGGGTCGAGTAGCTCGACGGGCCGGCCCGGCCTGGCTCGACCTCCGAACGGACTTGCACATGAACTTTAGCCCGCGGGCTAGACCTCGGACCTAAAAGTCCAAGCCTGACTATTTTACGGGTCGGGTCGGGATTTGTCACAAAAGCGCAGCCCGAGCTCGGCTCGGCCCGACCCAACAATTTGTATTTTATTGTAAACCATAGCCGATTAACCTTTCCTATTCCCTCTTTTCATCTTTTATCTTTCTCTCCTCATTCTCACTCTCAATAACCGGCGCGAATCCAAGCAAGCAGCCACTGTTCTCAATCTTAGAGGTGACAGGCAAGCTCAGGCACCAGTCATCTCTCTCTCTGGCGGTGAGTCTTCTCTCTCTCTCTCTATCTCTCTCTCTCTCTCTATCTCTCTCTCTCTATCTCTCTCTCTCTCGTCTCTCTCACAGTTCTCACTCGCATATTCTCAGGATTTAGGAATAGGCGAACTCAGGCACCAGCGCCAGCCGCGCCACTAGTGAACTCAGTCGCCCCTCTCTCCGGCGGTGAATCTTCTCTCTCTCTCCACCATTCCTCTCTCTTGTCTCTCTCGCAGTTCTCATTCTCATGCATTGTTGCATATTCTCAAGAACCAGTGAACACAAGCATCGGCAATGGCGAACTCAGGCACCGGCGCGAGCCGCACCACCAGTGAACTTAGTCACCCTGCATTTCAGCCTCTGTTAGGTCGGGCTTCGGGCTTTTTATGAGGGCCGGGCTCGGGCCCGAGTTGTAGGCTCGTTGGTCGGACTGGGCTCGGGCTCGAGCCTGAAAAAATCTTGTTAATGAAGAGTAAAAGCCCAGCCTGAGCCTAGCTCGACCCGGCCCATGAACAGGTCTACTTGCCCCCCACTCCCGAGGCTGAGGTGGAGGTTTTGGTGAGGCTTTGGCTTCGGTTGATGGAAGTGTCAATGCTGGTAGGCATCTTCGGACTCGTATGGTGAAGGGTGCCCTACAGTGGCATCACATCTGTCTTGCTTACGCTTTTTCCGGTTCATGCTCGTGGGAGAAGGATAAAGTTGTAGGGGGCTCAGCTCCAGCTAGAGAGTCCGAGCAGGAGGGGCTCGAGCCTGTGCCTTGTACTTTCGCAGTGATGGCTTGGAGTAGTGTGCGGTACAGGTATTGTGGGTTGATGCGTTGGGACCGTGCCCAATACAGGTCAAGCACAAGGAGAGTCTTCCGTAGGGGGGACAGGTCCCCAGGTGAACCGGACCGCATGTTCGCTCAGTCGATGCGCCCAAACTAGTAGACTACGGTGAGCGCGGCTGTTAGTTCGCCCGGTGAGGTTTCGTCTCCTCGAGGGCAGGTGCTGAGTGTTATGCCCCGGATAGTTTAAGAAGGCGGAGGCTTTACGACCGTTGGATTTCACAGATCTGAGTCGTTCGTTCTTCTATAAATAGGGGCCTTAGTTGTGTTTTTCTTCGTCATTTATCTCTAGTCACCCTTGCTGTCGAGTGATTTCTGCTCCCAGAGCCTTCGGATAGTTCACTTCCTCTAGTTACCTTCAGCCTTCATCCGTCTAGGTAACACCTTGTTCCGATGTCTTATTCAGATTCAGGCCCTGAGTGCTATGAACTTCCCAATCTCTCGGAAGGGAGCTCTCCTTGGACTCCTACTCCACTTAGTTCCAATTTGGGACTGTTGGCAGCCGAGGTCTCTCCTCAGCGAGGCGTGACAGGGCTGAGGGAGAGGGTAACCTCTGGGGGTGCAGAGGGCAACCGCCAGAGCGATGACCCTCCCTATGAAAGCGCCACATTCGTGACACCGAGGGAGCCTGAGGGGTCCCCCCAAGACGAGGGGGAGCCGGTTCCTGAACCCAACTTTAGGGCGGTAGCCGAACACGCTGCCTGGAGGTGACTATGGATCATCTACCATGTTCGGAGT